TAAAATAACCACATGACAGCGACTTGTCTGACCCAATATGACCTAGGGAACCAACTGTGACTGCCATGTATAGCTTCTGTCACCAGAGGGCACCAGGGTTCCAAGGTGTCTGTGGGTGAGGAGTGTTGAAAGAAAATATACCAGAAAGACTAGGATTCCTGAAGGATTTAGGGTTGAGTGTAGACTGAATAGATATAGGAATGTCTGGTGTTAGGAAGCCTCTGGAAACCCTAGCTATCCCCAATATCCTGGGCAGGCCAGTATTGCCCATATACCAGGCCCCGTCTGGGACTATTTCACACACAGTAAATCCTTTAATCGCTGCACAATACCAGGACTGGTAGTCACTGTACTCCTCAGGAAAACCATGGAAACCTGTTCCCAATTTCACATTCCTATGAAGCAGAAGACCTGTGATTACAAAGCAAGAAGCCTGGCTTCAGTGCCCAGGCCCGCAACCACCACCTTAACGTCATGGGTTTTCACAATGACTCCCTCACCCCCCTACCTACCCATTCCTGGGGTTCTGCCAGCATTCTCTGACCCTGGCTGTCTTCCCTGGACCTTAGCCAGCCCCAGCTGGCCCTTTCCCCTCTTCCAGCTCCCACCTGTTCCCTGGACCAGACCATGCTAAGAGGCTTATCAGCCTTGTGTGGGGACTAGATAAGGCAGGGCCCCCCACAAGGCTTATCTGGCCCTGCCATCCCAGCTGCTAGGAGTTGCAGGGAGCTGCCAACAGATAGAACCCCACCCACCGAGGCAGCAGGCCACCATGCCTCACCTCCTCAGGCCCCTGGTATCTTTCCTTGGGGTGTCATCCTTCCCCAGTGATGTCATCATCTGTAGTGACATCATTGCTTTGTCCCTCTTTCCAGTCCAAGAGGACAACTCAGTCAGGAGTTGGGGAAGTGGAGTCAGGGAAGAGGCCCATCCAGGCTCCTGGTCAGCAGCTGGAGTGGGATTCTGGAGAGGTGTCACAGGATAATCCCCATGGCAGATAGCTATTTTTGGTATTGGCTCTTCCTCCTCATAGTCACCCCTCTTCCTGTCTTCCCAATCCAAAGAAGCTCTGGATCCATCCGGGGTAAGGGCAGAGGAAGAAACCTACATCCTTCTGCAGGGCAGCTCTAGGGGTTAATTTTAGACCAGATCCAAGATAAGAGCATCAGTAAAGCAAGGCTACTGCTGCCAGCACTGTCCCAGCCCATTTCAGTCGTGGCTAGTTCTGAGATCATACCAATTACTGGAAGGATCTTGGTCATGCTGAGCTGCCCCTCCCCCCTCCTGCCCAGTGAATTAGGACACTGATGCCCTGAAAATTGGATATTAGAAGCACTGACTGGTCTAGATGTTTGGCATCCTAAGCATTAGGCCCCTTGAGAGTTGGGCACTAGAGACTCTGGACACTGGCAACTCTGGGTTTTGAGTTCTCCATGGTGTTAGAAACTGGCAGTGTTGGCTTTGGGAATCCTGGACTTCACAATAAACTCAAAGGTATTTAGGAATCTGGACGATTGTACTGACGATTGCAACAGCTCCCCAGGCAAAGCCAAAGTCATCGCGTCCTGTCTGTCTGGCAGGTTACCGGGGAGGGGGGCGTCTCTGAAGTCCAGCCTGGATTAGCTTGTGCTAGGAACACTAAAGGATGAGGCAAGATGGCTGGAAGGACACTTAAAGTCCCAGAGACAACTGTTGGATCTGATACCAATCTAAGCTACTGCCCTGTTTTGGGTTAGGGAAGGGAAAGTGTCAAACACTGACCATTGGGTGCCAAGTTCAAGAAAGGGGGAATCTGAGAAGCAAGCCCAGGCAGGGCATTCCTAACAAGGCTTCTGGGCCTCTAAGGCTGGGGCTCCAAGGAAGTGGAGATCAGGCCAGGTTCCAGTTCACCCAGCAAAACCTATCTTCTCATAATTTCTCAGCACCCCTCTAGTCAGGTGCTCTGTCAAAGTGGTTCAAGTTTGGCATTCTTCCTGCTCCCACACCTGACTCTCAGTCTCAACACTGAGGACTTGATCCTGCTGGCTGATGAAGACAAAGGAGGGAACCCAGCCAGCACTAGGAGATCTGATGTTGGGCACAGCTCTCCCAGGAAATAGCACTGTAACTAGAGGCTTCTAAGACAGGCCTCAGCCAGCAGTGGGTGGGCCCAGTGGCTGCCTGGCCTCTTGCTGTGCTGGTCCTGGAAGACACAGGCCAGCTGGAATGTCTGACCCTATCAGTCCTCCTGTCTATCTTCAGACTTGATCTCCCTTCATTCCCACAGTGGCACAGACTGACTATATTCGCTCTCCTTGTGGGCCAACTGCCCAAGAGGAAGCTCACAGCCAGGCATTAAGGCCATCACAGCTCCGACCTGGGCTAGGCCCAGACCTGCCTCCCCTGGGACTTCATTCTAATGGGGAGGGGGGGGGGGGACAAAACACAAGCCACTCCAGTTCCTGTCTATAGAGACAGCTTTTCAAATCAGAATCTTTGTCACAGCCTCTCCTCAAGACTCACTCACTAGGTGGCTACCTGATGCTCTTTATAGATGAAAGTAGGCAAAACTTATATAGCTATTAACTTGTGTACACTAATCACTTTGTGCTATGTCACTATTAGGCTAGCAAAATCCTCATGGTCAACTGCTCCAATTTCCCCAAACACTCCAAGGACTATCTTCTCTTTTCCCTACTTTATGAGCTAAAGTCTTAGGCTGCCTCCCTATCCCCACATGAATCTCAAAACTGATGGGGGAGAGGGGGCAGCTCAACTCTGAATACCTTTTCTTTCTTTTCATCCAATCTCCCCAGGCCCTGAGAGCATCCTGCCCCTGCCTCAGTTCACCTGGATTCCTTAGAGTAATTAGAAAGTTCCACTTTCCCTGGGGCATGAAAATTCTCCAAACTTTTGCTGAGTGTTCCCAGAACCTTCCTAGTGCCTTCTAGGCTCACCTCTACCCCCCTCCCCATTAGAGGGGGGGTCTCCTCCTCCCACCCCTCTCTGTCATCCTCTTTTTAATTCCCACTCTGCTTAGAGGCTAGTTCCAACAGCCTCCACTCTGCCTTCCCTGGGAATGGAGCATCTTTTGACAGGGAGGAGGAAGGGAAGAACAGATCAGAAACAATTTCTGGGAGGAATTTAATCCTGGCAGGAAAGATGAGGAGGACTTGGATCCTACCTGCTCAGACCCAGAAGTTGGGCACACATACAACTACACAGGCCTGCTAAAGTATCTACAGTCATTCCTCTGGATGAACCTGCATACACTCACTGTCAGGAGCCACCAGCACAACAGATTGCCCAAACACCCACATAAGGTTCACAGAATATTAACCTGAAAGAGATTGTATTTGATGAGAATCTCAAATGATGGGAATCTGCTTTGTCCTCATAACTCAATGTTGCTCCCAAGGCTTGGACCCCCTTCCCCAGGGGACCTTCCCAAAATTCTCCAGCCTAGAATCTTAATCTATACATGAAAGCCCACTCCTTCACCACCACCACCCCCAGGTAATAAGCACCTGAATTCCTCTAAGCAGATACAGCTGAGGACTAGCTCAAACTATAGGTTCCCCAAGCCAGACCTGTGCCCTAAACTTCGGAAACTCTTTGCACTCTCCAGCAACCTGTGCTGCGACCTTGCCCACAACCATTATCCTTCTTAATTCCCTCCACCCCTGCTCCATTACACCTCATGTCTCCTGACTCTCCTCTGGTCACCGAGGCATCCCTCTTCTACTTTCCATTGATCTCGTCTGTTGAGTTCACTTTCTGCTCTTTCTTTATTCTAATACTCTCATGACTAACACTATTGTCCTAACAGTATTGGCTAGGTTTAAGGACAAAGTAAAAAGGGGTATAAGTGTCTTTGCAGAAGACCTGATTGTCTCCAACAGCGACTAGGTTATGAGTTCTAAGGCAGTGGAGAGCTGTCTGTGTGAACTGGAGCTGGGGAATAGACAGAGAGGGCACACATTACAGGAGGTGTCTGGGCAGGACACCTGTTATCTTGTTCAGGGCCTCTGACTATAAATTAATAAAGTAGAATCTCATTCCTTGATTGGTCTTGTGCAGTTTTGACAGGGATGCATCTGCTTCTTCAAGGCTGAGTGTCCCCAGAGGAAAAAATAAGACTAGTTTCTTGGCCATGGTGGTGAGGATGCTGTGGGCACAATGGAGTCAGCCTCTCCAGCCTAGGGTGTTCCCTGAGTAGATAGATTGTCCCACTCAGGCTGGAACAACAACAACAGTTCCTGTTAACAGTCCCTTTCCTGGAAAGGTGGCTATCTTCAAATAAGCAAATATGGAGGGCCCATTCCAAATTCCAGGCCCCACTAGCCAGCCAGAGAATAGGTAGGCATTTCCTTAACTAATCCTCTCCATTTCAACAGGCTCCACAAAGCAACTCGTAGCCAAGCCTCCTTTAACTGGGATTGGGGGCCCCTTGTCTGTCTCCCCACCGAGGGACTTAGGGAGCTCACGCTGATGTTTGTAGCAAGGGGGCGGGGAGGGGAGTGTACTGGAGAAAGGACTCCCCCAGCTCTCCAACTCCAAGGAGTAGGTCCCAGGCCTTACCCAGCTGGGCCCAGTCTCTAGCGGCGCAGCTCCAAAGGGAACGGAATTTGCTTTTGACTTTTCTCTAGGGGGAACGCAGGCGCAGAAGGCCAGGGGCCCGGGCGGCTAACTTCAACCCCCCCCTCACCCCCCCTTCATGTGCCCCAGGCCTTTTGGCTTCGTTCCAGCCTAGCCCGAAGGGAACTACATCTGCTTCTTTCCAAGGGCCCCAGCTGGAGGGTAGCAAAGGCCTGGGCGGAGAATTGGGGTTACGTCGACGAGCCCCACTCTCAGGGGTTTGCGGGGATCAATCATCTGAAAGCCGGAGCGACTTGTAATTTTATTCCCTGGGAGGAGGAGTCTGGGAGAAGTCGGCACGCGGGAGGGGAAGGGAGAAGGGAGCGGAGGGGAGGGGACGGGGCGGGGGGAGGGAGGGCGGCCAGGGGAGCTGTTCGGGGAGAGGAGGGACTTGGCTGGGTCTCTCCAGCCTTCTTCACTCTTCAAACTTTCACCAAACTCTGAGCCCCCGCCTCCCCGAAACCAAAACACAACAAGCTCTGGAGGAGCGGCGAGCGGCGCGGCGGGGCGGGCGGACTCGCGGCGGCTCCGAGCCTCGGGAGGCTGATGCAACTTTCCCTTTAAGAAAGCCACCTGGGCGCACGGCGGTGCGGACCCGGCACGCCTGGGCCGGGGGCTGCAGCATGGTAAGAGGGGGCTGGGGGGCCGGGGCGCTGCGGTGCTCGCGCCGGCGGGTCCGGGCCGCGGGGCTGAGCCCCCGGGGCCAGCGCGCGCGTGCGTGTGTCCGTGTCTGTGTGTGTGTGCGGTGTTTGCGATCGCGCATGCATGCGGCATCTGGGGCTGCGAGTGTGGGTGCTCGCACTGGGATGTCTGTCTCGCCGCGGAGGTCGGGGTAGGTGCGCGCGTCTGGGTGTCACCGCTGTCACCAAGGAGCCGAGGCGGGCGGGAATCGGGAGGTGCGGGGACGGGGGGGGGGGGGTGAGGGAGAGAAGCGGCGCCGGGAGTGGAGGGGGGTGTGCTGCGTGCCGACGCCGGCTCGGTCGGGGGCGGCGGGAGGTGCGGGGAACGCCGGAACCGGAGCGTGTCGCGGTCTGTCTGGGGCGCCGGTGGGTCTGTGCGTGCGGGGATGAGGGGCCCCCCGCGGGGCGCCGGGCCGGGCGCCGGGTCCCGCACCCCTCGCCGCCGGCCTGGCGGCCGCTGCCGGTCTATCTGGCCGCTCCAGCCCGCGGCCTCCCTCATCTGCCCGCCCACTCGCCCGCCGGGTGCCGCGGGTTCCCGCGCGCCCGCGGGTCTCGGGAAGCCGTGGGAAGTCACGGGGCCCTCCGGATCTCTTTGTCCACGGGCTCCCGAGGCCACGGCTTTGGGAAGGGACCGCCAAAGAGGGGAGCTCTTTGGGGGTAGGTGGGGGGGACTATTACCTTGGGGGAGGGGGATAAAAAAATCTGCGCCCTCACCACCGGGAACCTGGTTCCGGGAGCGCCGAGGGCGAGCCCCGGCGGCCGCAGGTGAGACCGGGGGGCCTAGCAGCCCCGCGGCCCCCCCCGCGGCCGGCGCCCCGCACCCGATCGTCTCCGCGGGGCCGCGGACGGCTGCGGGGCCGCGTCGCGCCGGGATGGAGGTGGGGGGGCTCGCCCCGAGCGCCGGGCGGGGCCGCCGCGGCCCGGGGGCGGGGCCCGGGGGCGGGGCCCTCGGCACCCCGGTACTTTTCCACCGCAGGGGCCGGGGGCGGGGCCGCCCGCTCCACGCCAGCTGAGAGGCCCACACGTGGTGGCTGATGTAACGCCTGCCCCCCACCCACACACCTCGCACCCCGATTAGAGTGGACACGTCCCGCTTCAAGGAACCGGGACGCTCCGGGAGGCACCGCAGATAGCGGGGCGACCGCGCCCCTACCCCGCCCGGCCGCCCACCCGGGGCCCGAGCGCTGCCCGCCGGCCGCTACTTAAAGGAGCCGCACCCCCCCCCCCCCCCGGTCGGGCCTGCACCCTGCAGGCCACGCCCCCTCGTTGATCATTCTTAAAGGAGCCGCGCACCCAGGTTTTTGACAGCTCCCCTCACAAAGCCCAGTCTGTTTCTTATCTGAAAGACTGCTAGGAGATAAAGAATAGAGGGTTGAGGAGAAGGAGTGGTAAAGGAGAGAGGAACCTAAAAGGTGTCCCTAAAGAGAAGGGGCAATAAAAGATTGGAGAGTACTGGGTGAGGAAAATAGTTCTGGGACCAAGGAGTAACACTGAGCATGCCCATGTTCCCAAGGACCAGAGAGAAATCCACACCCTTATTCTCGAGGACTGTAGAGATACCAGCGCTGAGGACATGGAAGAAGCACACCTGTGCCCTGGAAGAGCTCTCCAGCTAGTGGGGGAGCCAGACTTGGACACCAACAGACAATCATGCTGCAATGCTACCTGTGACTAGCATACTAGAGCACACCGTGTGCTTTAAGGGGTACCACAGAAAGACTGCCAGCAACTGGGAGGACACAGGAAGTCTTGAGGACAATGGCTTTGAGACAGGTTTTGAAGATGTGTAGGTTATATATATAGGTGGAAGTGGGGACAAGTGATCAACGAAGAAGGACCTGCTGGGAATGCACCTGGGTGATGGTCCCCGGTGGTATCCTGGCTTCAGGCAGAAGGAAGCCTCTCTGTCTCCCACTGCTCCTCCAAACTCTCCATCACAGTGAACCAAGATCATACTTCCTTCTGTATCTTCCCAACAAACTGTGAAGTACTAGCAGTGAGACCATAAAAGGTGTGTACACCTGCCTGCTAGTACCCCCAAGCCTGCTAGTCAACTGTAGCTTGCCCTCTCCCCTCCCCAAAACTACAATAGCACTCACTTTTTTTTTTTTTTTTTTTGCCAATCCTGGGGCTTGAACTCAGGGGGGCTGGGCTTTGTCCCTGAGCCTCTTTGTGCTGAAGGCTAATGCTCTACCACGTGAGCCACAGCACCACTTCCAGCTTTTTCTGAGTAATTGTCAGAGATAAGAGTCTCATGGACTTTACTGCCTGGGTTGGCTTCTTACCACAATCCTCAGATCTCAGCCATCTGAGAAGCTACGATTATAGTCCTGAGCCACCATCACCCAGCTCAACCACATTCTTTTTTTTTGGGGGGGGGGTCCGGTCCTGGAGCCTGAACTCTGGGCCTGGGCACTGTCCCTCAGCTCTTCAGCTCAAGGCTAGCACTCTACCACTTGAGCCACAGCACCACTTCCGGCTTTTTGCTTATGTGGTGCTGAGGAATGGAACCCAGGGCCTCATGCATGCAAGGCAAGCGCTCTACCACTGAGCCACCTTCCCAGCCCCAGCTCAGCCACATTCTTGTGTCTGAGATTGCTACCAGCTTCTTCCCATTTCACTAACAAAGCTTGCCCTTCTCTAGTATCCTATGTATTATCAAGTCCTACTGTGCTGCCTTCTAAATTTCTCTCAGATCTGTGCTCCTTCTCTTGCTCCAACATTATCTTCCAAGCCCCCTTCTCCTCTGGCCTGACCCATTCTCAGTTTATTTCTTCTTTACTACTCTCACCTTCCGGTCCTTTCTCCATACTGTGAATAGGATGATCCTGTCCTGCCTTTTTTTTTTCTTTCTTTCTTTCACAGTTCTGTTTAGAGGAGGGATCTCCTTATGTTGTTCAGGCTGATCTCAAGCTTGTGGACTCAGGTTATTCTGCCACCTCAGATTCCCTCTGAACTGGACTGCAGGCCCACACTACCTTACTTAAGGAGGGATGCTTTCAAAAAATATTTCCGTTAATCCATTCTCCAAGTTAATCGTCTGCTTAAAAGCCTTTAATAGCCACTATTGCCGTTAGAATAAAGACCAAGGGCTGGGAAGGTGACTCAGTGGTAGAGCGCTTGCCTTGCGTGCCTGAGGCCCTGGGTTTGATTCCTCAGCACCACATAAGCAAAAAGAAAAAAGCCGGAAGTGGTGCTGTGGTTCAAGTGGTAGTGCCTTGAGCTGAAGAGCTGAGGGACAGCGCCCAGGCCCAGAGTTCAGGCCCCAGGACGGGACACCCTTCCCCCCCCCCCCCCAAAAAAAAAAAAGAATAAAGACCAAAATCCAGAGCCTACAGGCCTTCCTTGTTATGGGTCTGCCTTCAACTTTCTCCTGGGCTACCTGAGCTTTCCTTTGGATTATTTTGACTTCCTGAATGGCCCCTTCTCTTCCTTACTATTGTCACTTTGTGGAATTATCTTCTTCTGATTCTTAAACACCTCTTCTAGGACTTTCAACCCTGCTGTAGAGCATAAAGAGATCTCCTTCATACTATTTATCTCAGTCTGTAATTATTTGGTTTGACTCATCGATCTTACTCTTTTCCTCTCAGTTTATGGGCAGGTCTAGAGAGGGCAGAGACCTTTGAGTACTTGGTGCCTGGCACAGATCTGGCCCAGACCAGACCTGTAATAAGTATTTGTGGAATAAATGAATCTAGTTGTAGGCAGCCTGCTAAGCAAGTTAGGTCATATATCCTTTTGGCTGTGGTAGACTATCAAGAAGACTCTTAAGTCTCTGAAAAGGTTAATGGTGTGGAAAGGAGAAAAATGTGGAGTCAAAAATTAGGCAGAAGCCGGGCGCCGGTGGCTCACGCCTGTAATCCTAGCTACTCAGGAGGCTGAGATCTGAGGATCGAGGTTCAAAGCCAGCCTGGGCAGGAAAGTCCATGAGACTCTTATCTCCAATAAACTACTAGAAAATCGGAAGTGGAGCTGTAGCTCAAGCAGTAGAGCACTCACCTTGAGCTGAAGAGCGCAGGGACAGCGCCCAAGCCCAGAGTTCAAGCCCCGCAACCAACCAAAAAAATAAAATAAAATTAGGCAGAGGGCTGGGAATGTGGGTTAGTGGTAGAGTGCTTGCCTAGTATGCATGAAGCCCTGCGTTCGATGCCTCAGTACCACATAAACAGGAAAAGCTGGAAGTGACAATGTAACTTAAATGGTAGAGTGCTAGCCTTGAGCAAAAGAAGCTCAGGGACAGTGCCTAGACCTTGAATTCAAGCCCCAGGACTGAAGAGAGAGAGAGAGAGAAACCTCAGGGTTTATGAGAAAATTACTCTTAGCTCCATCTTCCACATAGAGAAAAATCACATTCAAAGAGATTAGGCATTGCTTTAGAATCATGTGCTTAGTGAGTAGCAGAGTCAGAACCCAGCCTAAGTCTATCAGATCCCATAGCCTGAGGACTTCATATATGCTGAACTGACCTGCTGCTTGTAAATGGTGGCCTATCTATGGATTGGGACAGGCCCAAGGCCTGAATATTATGAGCCTCTGATACTTAGAAGAGGGACTGGCATAGTGTTGTGGGCTTTTTCTGTTTTTGTGCTGGGGATTCAACCCAGCATATTAAGCTAATGCTCTATCACTGAGCTATACCCTAGCACTCAACTGGCACTTTTTATTAAAAAAAATTCTTTTTTTTTTTTTTTGGGTCCGGTCATGGAGTCTGAACTCTGGGCCTGGGCACTGTCCCTCAGCTCTTTAGCTCAAGGCTAGCGCTCTACCACTTGAGCCACAGCGCCACTTCCGGCTTTTTTCTTTTTTGCTTATGTGGTGCTGAGGAATCGAACCCAGGGCCTCAGGCATGCAAGGCAAGCGCTCTACCACTGAGCCACCTTCCCAGCCCTTAAAAAAAATTCTTTATTGAGATTGATTACATAAATTTCACAATACTGTGGGATAGGGATACTTAGCTAAGTCACAAACACATTTTAACCTTCACAAGGTGAATTATCAATATCATGGTCTATAAAATTTGTGAACTCTACAAACCTTCACAACACAACTATTTCTTCCAAATCAGGTGATATGTACATTTCTTTCCTTTAACTTGGTGTAAGCAGTTCCCTCTTTCTCTCATTCTCCCCTCCCATTGCTGCCCTTGAGTTGCTTAGTTCACTTTCGTCAACGTCCAGTGCAGCTAATGGACCCCTCTGCTGTATTTTTATCACCTGTTTCCTTCTGATTCTGTCAACTGGCACTTTTTGATTGGATAGATAGGGCCGTTACACAGAAAGGCAGGAGAAGCAGCAGAGAGTTAAACCAACTCATTCTCCTGGTCTAGTCACTAAGTGTTCTTGCTCTAGTAATCCATAAGCCACCTAAAGGCAGCTAGCACTGAGGATCTAGCTGAGAACAGATTCTGGTGACTGCCTGATTATAATGGCTTGAGTCAGAGATGTCAGAGATGAAACTTGCTCAGTACCTCCAGGCGAGGCATTTGGCCTGGGTTGGTCTTTCCACTTGGAAGCTAGATGAGGAACTCTGAAATGACCTGAGTGAGAACACTATGTAGCTTCAGTCCCAGGACACTGTCCTCAATTTACTCACCTGACTAAAGGGAATAATAATTTCCAGCCCCTGAGGTGGCTCTTAATAACACCATCTGCTGTTATTACTATCATCATTGTCATTATTACTCCTCCAATGACAGGTTTAGGGAAGTCTGATGGAGAGTATACTGCTAGGGAGGGGCCACAGGCAGTGCCAGGGGTGAGAAGGACTAGGATACAATCCCTTTCTGAAGGACATAGCTTCCTTCTGTAACTAACTGTTACCAGAAGACCAAAGATATGAACAGAATCTTGTTGGGAGAAGACACTGAGGGGCAGAGGCAAACCCTGACCACTGGCAAAAGGAAATGGTGCTCTTCCTTTCCCATCTACCATCTGGTAGTGGGACCACTACCAAGATGCAGATTTTCACAAGGACTCTTACAGGGAAGACTGCCATGTTTGAGGTTGAACCCTTGGGTACCATGGAAAATGTAAAGGCTGGGCACTGGTGGCTCATACTTGTAATCCTTGCTACTTAGGAGGCTGAGATATGAGAATTGTTGTTCAAAGCCAGCCTGGGCAGGAAAGTTGGTGAGACTCTTATCTCCACTTAACCACCAGAAAACCATAAGTGGCGCTGTGGCTCAAGTGGTAGAGCACTGGCCTTGAGTTGAAGAGCTGAGGGACAGCGCCCAGGCCCAGAGTTCAAGCCCCATGACTGACCAAAAAAATATATATATAATAATAATTAATAAAAGAAAGGAAGGAAAAAAGAAAAGAGATGAAGGAAGAAGAGAGAGAAGGAAGGAGGAAAAAGTGGTTCACATAGTTCTTCACTTACTTGTTTTAAAGAGACAAGTCCTATAAGAGATCAGATGATTCAAGGCAAAGGGCTTAATGAAGTCAAGGGCTTATTTGCAAAGGTAGTTTTCTTGCTTCTCCCTTATCCTTCCGGGGATTTCCTGTGGGTGAGAGGTAGTAACTTTCATAGGTAACTTGGGTGAGGCTGAGTGACCCGGAAGAGCTGTGGCAGTGAAGTTTGCTCAGGGAAGGTCTCAGAAGCACAGCCAAATCAACCTTAGGGTAGGGCACTGTGGAGTTTGAACCTCTTCATCTATCTGACCCAAGACTATCCTTTCATGAGAGAGTTAAGGCTCTCTGAAGGTTGATTTTTCTCCTAAGGCCTGTCAGAAATGATTCCTTTTTCATCTCTATTATTAAACCTATAATGCATGAGCTTTGCCACGTGGCTTGATCCTATCATTTATCTGCACACCTTTCCAACTCATCTGGCCCTGAGGGCTCTTCGATGTTTCCTCGGAGATCCTATGCTAAACCAGACCTGAATTCCAGGCCCCTGTCCCATTGGTTCCCCTTCATTTCGACCATTTCAACTATCTTATTAGCTCCAGCACAGTGTTGGGTGCTAGGCCCAGAAGAGTAAAAGAAAGCCAGTCCCAAGCCCTCAGGGAACTGGCTTGTGGTTGATGGACTTCTAGGCAAATATGTCTAATATGAGATGGTGAGGGCACAGGTTGAAGTCTGCATGATCCAGAAAGGAGGAAGCAATTTGTTCATTCTGGCAGTGGAGTGCTAGGACAAGCTACAGAGTGAAGAAAACAGGTTAAAGGACTTGGTTAAAAGGACTTGCAGAATTTCACCTAGTAAGCCTGCTGTAAAACCAGGAAGGCAAAAAGATTTGGCTACACCTGGTGAATCTGGCATGTGCAGAGCAGCAGAATGGCACCAGAATGGGGCAAGACCATCGTGGCTGGTTGGGCTGAAGTTGGGGAGCATGTGCTGATCCAAGCTGACTCCCCTCCTGGGCAAAGGCTGTGGCCATTCACACAGACGATGAAGGACTTGGACTCTGTCCCAGTTCTGTGTTCATTTTCTGTCTTTTATAGGATTGGGCATCTGGAGAGTCAAAAATAGACCTTTGCCCATTGGGACAGGAAGCCTGGAGAATAAAGGACCCAGGAGAGGGGTTGGGGGAAGAACTTGGAAGGGGCTGGTCCTCCAGGGTCATCAGAATTGAGCAGGATGCAAAATGGCCAGGCTGAAGGAGTAGGGGGAAGAGGGACACAAAGACCTCCCAGCTGGTAGTGTGGGGCTCTGTACTACCTGTTCTGGAGAGTTCTGAGGGCCACTCCTAGCCTGCCTGGGCCTAGGTCTCACCTTACTTTCTATTTTCTCTACAGCTCTTGAGGTCCGTTGTCTGAAAGGCACTGGAAGCAGAGCCTGCGAGTGTGATCCAGGTCTCCAGAGCCCCCCACCCACTGCCACCATGGTAGGAAAAGGTGCCAAAGGGATGTTGGTGAGTACAGGGGCCAGGATGATGGAGGTAAAGGGCACACACAGCCCTATATGATGTCCTACCAATTACTTGCTATGGCACAAGGGAGGGTATAGGAGGCTCTATTAGACCAGGGCTGGCACTGCCCAATTACCAGGGCTCTCCCAATCCCCAGGCAGGCAGCCCCTCACCCAGCAAGTGAGACAGCACCAAACTCCAGGCTCACAGCTGGGCAGGTTCCACCAGAAACCCTGCTGGAAGGCACACTGCCTGTCCTGGTGATAGGTGCTCTGGAGAGGACACAGCTCCTCTTGTTAGGAGGAGAGGAGAACAGCCAGGACTGTGCCATGGCTGCACCTGGGCAGCTCCTACCCACCCAGTGCTGTGCCTTAGGGCACATTCAAGTATGTGCTCATCAGGGATTCTCTGACACTGGTTTTTCTCTACTTCTCTGGTGCTTTCTCATGCAAATTTCATTAAAAAAAAAACTTTTGGGAAGCTGGGATGGTGGCTCAGTGGTAGAGTGCTGGCCTTGCATGTATGAGGCCCTGGGTTCGATTCCTCAGCACCACATAAGCAGAAAAAAGCTGGAAGTAGCACTGTGGCTCAAGTGGTAGAGCGCTAGCCTTGAGCTGAAGAGCTGAGGGACAGCGCCCAGGCTAGAGATCAGGCCCATGACCGACCAAAAAATAAAAATAAAAAAACAAGAAAACCAACTTCTTCTGAAATCTCCTCAATAATCTTCCTCCCCTTCTCCAAGCCATGGCCCCTCCTTTGTCCTCTACTTCAGAGCATAGGAGTGGTGCTGGGAAGGCCCTTCAAGAAACAAGAGCCTGGGGAATGGTCTTGAGGGAACAAGACTCATTGATGGATGGAGCAGGTTGGCACCGGAAGCAGGAAGCAAGAGAAAGAAGCCAGAGCCTATCCTGAGGGCTATGGTTGTATTTTTTGTCTTAGAATCTTGCTTCAGGGACAAGCCAGACTGGACAGCTGTCAGGGGAGGAAGCCAGTGACAGAGGACAGCCCTCCCTCAACAGCTCCCTCCCCACCAATGCCTTCTGTTGCTTCCCTCATTTAATGAAAGACTAGTTGGCCTGGGGTCTCTGCTAAGCCTTCTCTTAGCTAACCTAGTCTCTCACCAAAAATTTCTGGGATTTAGAGAACGTGGTTCAGAGGAATGGTTTGGGGAAAGGTATGGGGTGATTCTGCTTCTGTCCAATCCTATTCTGAATCTCTAGCATCCAGCTCTTCAAGGAGTCTGAATAAACCAGACTTCTGAAAGGATTTTTTTGTTGTTGGTGTTGGTAGTGGTGGTTGTGGGGCTTGAACTTGGGGCCTGGGCGCTGCCCAAGCTCTTCAGCTCAAGGCTAGCAATCTACCACTTTGAGCCACAGTGCCACTTCCAGTTTTCTGGTGGTTGATTGGAGATAACTGCCTCCTGGACTTTCTTGCCCGGGCTGGCTTCAAACCATGATCCTTAGAGCTCAGCCTCCTGAGTTGCTAGGGTTACAGGCTGAACCACTGGTGCCCAGCTGAAAGGATTCTTGAGCCAGTCTAGAATCAGTTGAGATGCTCAGGTTAGGCACAGATAGAGAGTTTATGATATTAACTCTTGCTGGGAGGTAGATCTTGTGTTAGAACCTAAGCAGGACCTCACCTTTTCCCTGGGAAATCTCAGTCCTCCCCTCTCCTTCCCTTGAGACACTAAGCCCTGTGAGCCCCTTCAAGCACTTCATGGTTCTTCTCTGGAGTGACCCTGGCAGGGCTGGCAGGCAGGAGAGCTGGCAAGCACGAGAATTGGGGTACCCATGTGGGCAGCTCAGAGAGCCTGAGTTACTAGGTCCCAGCTGAGCTTCCTGGACCGGTGCTATGCCTTCCAGCCGCCCGTGGGAGGGAATGCTGCCTTGGGACTCCCGTTCCCAGCACCAGGATGGCCTAAAGATAGCTGGGGCTTGCCCTCTGCCCTTTGCCTTCTACCCACTGCTGTGTTTGAAGCTCATAGCATCTGTCCCATGGGTACCCCCGGTGGTTACTCAGAGATTTCTATTCCTGCTTCTTGTTCAGTTTTGCTGATGACCTTGGGCTACTCTATTCTTGGGTCCCAGTTTGGAACTGAAGCTGCTCCATTCAGAGCTTGTCTCTAGGATACAGCCAGCCCCTGCCAAGACCCATCCCTGCTTACTAACATGGAGCTAAGTCAGCACTTGCTAGGTGTTTGTGTCTTCCTAAGGCCCAGTGGCTGAGGAAGTTCCTTCCAAATGCTACATCACTAGATGCCCTCCTAGGTCAGAAGAGAGGACGATGAAGATGTGTCTGTGAGCTGATGACGCCGAGAACTTCCTGGTTTTCTGTGGCTTCTATTACACTGTTTGTTTCCTGTTATCAAAGAGTTGGACAACTAGCCTCTACCTTGAGGTCCTCACTTCCACTGCCCTTTACCTCTGGTTTCAGGTCTCTTCAGTATCAACAGATGCCCTGTATCATCACAGGAGCTTCTTCTGGGCTCTCAGGCAGGTGCCCTAGAGAGGAGCCAGCCATTTCCCAGCACGTGCCCAGGCCCACATGCTTGTTGCACGTGTCTCTACCCCCACTCCCAGCCCAGATGGTCTCTGCCAGGCCAGCTCAGCTGCCTCCCTCACGCCTCAGTGGATCTTAGGACAGGGCCTTGCGAGGACCCAGCTGGCCAGGGTACCTCCAAGCTGGGAGCAGCTGGGATGCTCGGGGGCACCGAGGGTGGGTGGGATGGTCCTTCCACGGAGGCCCAGGGCCTCTGTACACGTGTAGGGCAGGACTGTCTGGGTCTCAAAGGACAGATGCTGGAGGAGGGGAGCTCAGGAGAGTAGGCAGAAGAGTCTTGACTGGCTTAGTTTTAACCCTACCAACTCACACCAAGCTCCCAGGCTGGCCATTTCAATCTCTTCCCCTGGCCTGAGCCAGGTTGGCTTCTTCCCATGTCTTTGAACATTTTGATTGAGTCATCCAGATACCAGGACGGTGGGTGTCAGAGCTTCTAAGTCCCAGAAGACTCTGCAAACACCTGGGCCTGCCCCACCCTTCTGCTTTGACTTGAGGATTTGGAGACCTCTTGTCTGCAGCATTCATCACGGGGCCTAGAACACAGTGAGTGCTCGTGCATCCAGTCCAGTCTTGGCATGTAGCAAGTGCTCAGCTAGTATAGGCTTGGCATGTGTTGGGAATTCACCAGGCACAGGGTTTGGCACATGTTGAGCGCTCCCTTGGTAGAAGGCCCTATCAGCCCTGGGCACTCAGCACAAGTTGCAACATGTGGGAAATGCTCAGCTAATACAAACTTGGCACACCCTGAGCACTCAGTGGAGAGCCTGCCACCCAGTGGATACTCATCTAGTATGGTGCCCAGTGCACAGTGGGTGCTTATTCAACTCAGAGATGGGCATTTTCACCTCATGTGAAGGACTTAGCATACCACAGCGGTTCACTTGACATGAGTTGACACACGGAGCTCTCAGCTTAGGGCCTGGCACATAGTGGGCCCTCTCTTAACACAGGACCTGGCACATAATTTGTACCCTTCCAGCATTGGATTGAGCATTACTCTGGTAATGTGGGTGTTCTCCTGACACACATCTAGCATGCAATGTTTTTCTCTCAGTATTGGACCTGACACACAGTGGGCACTCTTGCTGATACAGCTTCTGGCATCTAGTACTATTCTAACCCAGGTGTTGGCACATAGTAGTACTCTCCTAGCTCAGTGATGGCACACAGTCTATAAGAAAGTGCCCTTCTATACAAGACAGCTTAAGCAATGATTTTCTGATGGTTCTAGATGTGCGAATACTACTTCCCTGGTGAAATGGAATGTCCAGATCCAGAGGAAAAGGCCCTGCCTTCTTCAGGCTTCTTTGACTCTAAGACCCTGCTTTCGTAGCCTACATACTCAGTCCTATGGCCTCATCTTCCCGTACACAGCTTCCCCTAGTCATCCCCATGTCCCTAGCACTCTTTAATACTAGCTCAGCAGGACCTTCCCTCCAGAGTCACAGAGGACAACAAAGTCCCTAGAATCTTTGCCCTTCTGGAAGGATGCCCACTCTTATTAAGAAAAGTCAAAAGGCTGGGGCTAGGGGAGTCAGCCTTGCTAAGTGGGGCTGGAGCAGCTGGATCCCACTAATGAGGCCTCATTACAGCCAGGGCCCAGCTGGGCTACTGCCGCCTCCTGTCCCCATAGCCAGAGCCAGGGAAAGCCATCCAGCCAGGGCTGCCTGTTCTGGGAACCCAGCCCAGACCAGGGCAGCCAGAGCCCACCCTGGGTGGAAGTGAGCCTTTGGGCATCATGGGTGACTGGGCCTTCCTGGAGCCAGTGGCCCGACCAGGGCCTTGGCCCTTAGACTGTGCCCAAAGGAATTCAGGGGAGTGTGTCTGGGGCCTGGTTGCATGAGCCTGGCCCATTGAGTAGCTAAGTTGGAAAGGTCTAAAGCTATACTTAGGAGGGAGCCCAAAGGCCCATGCAGCCATCATGGGACTGTTAGGAGGACTGAGTTAGTATACATGAAGTGTTTAGGACTCACAGAAAATGCCTAATGTCTATTGTCTCTTATTGTTATTACTAATGCTACCTATATTCAGTGGTTGGTAGATATCCCCTATTTAAAGATGCAGAAATGGACAACAGACATGTTAAGCAACTTATTTAAGGTTGTATACGGTGAGAGGCTGCCAGACCTTAGATTTGAACTCAGGCCTAACTGACTGTGCCATTTTTCAAATATTAAATTTTTTTTTTGTTTTTTATTTTTGCCTGTCCTGGGGCTTGAACTCATGGCCAGAGTGCTGTCCCTGAGCCTCTTTGTACTCAAGACTAACACTGTACCACCTGAGCCACAGCACCACTTCTGACTTTTTTTTTTTTTTTTTGGTCTGGTCGTGGGGCCTGAACTCTGGGCCTGGGCGCTGTCCCTCAGCTCTTCAGCTCAAGGCTAGCGCTCTACCACTTGAGCCACAGCGCCACTTCCGGCTTTTTACTTTCTGCTTATGTGGTG